AAAGAAAAAAAAAAAAAAAAAAAAGAAAAAACAACTTTTTGGAGACACTAGAAGTAATCAGCTGAAAGCAGTTTGGAAATCAAACACTGGAGGTCACCAGAAACAGACTTTCAGGGGGAAGAATCCAGAAGGAAACCAGCCTTGAGGGCAGGGCAGCTCCCCTAAACCTGGTGACTGGTCATTGGCATCCAGCCACCCAGGGTGGTCCAGGAGTCGGCTGCCCACAGGAGTCTCTGATGTACATCAAAGCTTGAGGGTACTAGAAACAGACAACCCCGTGGGGATACTAGAAACCAACATCTGTGGGTGGATGGGCAGTCGCTGGAGAGAAAGGGGGTTTTATACCCAGCCGTCTGCAACCTTTCAGATACAAGCAACAACACTGAAGGGCAAGGGTTTGGGGCCCAGCTCTGCTGACCTTGCTGTATGATTCCCTGGCACTGCCCGCTCCCACCCCACCCCCACGCAGCCTCAGTCTCCCTGCATGCCGGACAAGAAGCCTGGCCTCACCTGTAGAATGAGGTCTCCTTCCTGCAGCCCTCCGTTCCGCGCGGCCAGGCCCGTATCTGTAATGTGCTTGATGAAAATCTGACTGCCCAGCTTCACGCCAAACTCTGCAAGGGGGGAGGAGGGAAACTGAGGCAGGACTCTGGGAACGTTCTCCTGCTGTAAGGACAGGGTCTGGTTGCCAGCCTTCCTAACACCTTGATGGCATCATAATGAGAACGCTGATGTCGCGTGTAGGGCCTGAGATCGGATAGTGTTATTTTTTTCGAGGAGTCTCATGCCTGTGGCCTGGGCTGGAGTGCAATGGCACGATCTCGGCTCACTGCAACCCCCGCCTCTCGGGTTCAAGCCATTCTCCTGCCTCAGCCTCCCGAGTCGCTGAGATTATAGGCTCCCTCCACCACCCCTGACTAATTTTTGTATTTTTAGTAGAGACAGGGTTTCACCATGTTAGCCAGGCTAGTCTCGAACTCCTGACCTCTGGTGATCTGCCTGCCTTGACTCCCCAAAGTGCTGGTGTGAGCCACCGCGCCTGGCCCCAGTCGTATTTTATTATCAAGGGTCACAGCCGGGCACGGTGGCTCATGCCTGTAATCCCAACACTTTGGGAGGCCAACATGTGCGGATCATGAGGTCAAGAGATCAAGACCGTCCTGGCCAGCATGGTGAAACCCTGTCTCTACTAAAAATACAAAAATTAGCTGGGCATGGTGGCGTGTGCCTGTAATCCCAGCTACTCAGGAGGCTGAGGCAGGAGAATCGCTTGAACCCGGGAGGTGGAGATTGCAGTGAGCCGAGATCGGGCCATTGCACTCCAGCCTGGCACCTGGCGACAGAGCGAGACTCTGTCTCAAAAAAAAAAAAAGAGTCACATCCCAGGTGGCCCGGTGGTTCACACTTGAATCCAGGAGGCAGAGGTTGCAGTGGGCCGAGATCACGCCACCGCCTCCAGCCTGGGCGACAGAGACTTCATCTTAAAAAACAATAATAATATGACGGGGAGAATGGTGGAGGGAGTGAGGAAGGAGTGTCCCAGGGCCATCTGTCATATCATGACAAGAATTCTGAAGTCAGAAAGCTGCCTCAGCCCGGCGCGGTGGCTCACGCCTGCAATCCCAGCCCTTTGGAAGGCCTAGGCAGAGGGATCGCCTGAGGTCAGGAGTTTGAGACCGGCCTGGCCAACATGGTGAAACCCCGTCTCGACTAAAAATACAAAAATTTAGCTGGGCACTGTGGCATGCACCTGTAATCCCAGCTACTGGGGAGGCTGAAGCAGGAGAATCGCTTGAACCCAGGAGGCGGAGGTTGCAGTGAGCCGAGATTGCGCCCCTGCACTCCAGCCTGGGCGACAGGGGAAGACTCCACCTCAAAAAAATAAATAAAGACAGCTGCCTAGAAAGGGTCACAGTCACACGCCTGTTGCTGATGAGATGATGGGAATTCTGACATCAGGACTCTGTTGTGTTGTGATGCTTGAATTTACTGTGGCAGCTAGGACAAACTGTCACCAACAGAATCTCCCTCTGTCGCCCAGGCTGGCGTGCAATGGCGAGATCTCGGCCCACTGCAACCTCCGCCTCCCGGGTTCAAGCCATGCTCCTGCCTCAGCCTCCTGAGTAGCTGGGAATACAGGCACCTGCCACCACACCTGGTTAATTTTTGTATTTTTAGTAGAGACAGAGTTTCACCATCTTGGCCGGGCTGGTCTCGAACTCCTGACCTCAAGTGATCTGGCTGCACCTTGGCCCCCCCAAAATGCGGGGATCACAGGCATGAGCCACCACAGTTGGCCGGGCCTCCTCTTATGAGGACCCTGTGGTGGCACTGACCCCCCCAGATCATCCAGGATCTCCTCCCAACTCAGGGTCCTTCACTCCATCCCACCTGCTGAATCCCGCTTGCTAAGTGAGGCGGTCTAAGCAGCAGGTCCTGGGGATGAAGGCAGAGACATCAAGCCCCTCCCACCCGGCCACGGTGCCCTGTGCCCAGCGCTGATGGTGGCCCCACCTCCCCGCTCACCCTCGCTGTCCCTCCTCTTCACCAGCACCGACTTCACGGGCTTCATGTGCACGTCCTGCCGCGGGAGCCGCTTAAAGCCAGACACCAAGGCCAGCCCATTGGCCTCAGAGCCACCACCTGGGCTCCTACGCCTGTGGCTGCTGGCCTGGCCCCGGCGACCAGGCCTCGGCCGGCGGGAGCGCCCATCCCAGGATCGGCCGGAGCCACTGGATGAGTCGCCGTCATAGCCCCGGCCCTGGTCCACGTCCTCCAGCCGCCGGGGCCCATCATCCTCGTCCGAGTCCTGGCGCTGTGGACCGGAGGGGCTGGCCTTGGTGGCGGGCAGCTGGATCCTCCGGGGACGTTTCACTGTCTGTTAGAGGAGGGGACAGGAGGGGGTCAGCTGCAGACAGGGGCTAGGGGAGGCTCTCTACTCAGCCCCAGGGTGGTCCTGGGGGACACCAGTCCATCTCTGGGCCTCAGTGTCCAAACTGCAAGATAAGAAGGTGACTGCTTGCTCTCCGAAGCTTACAACCCCCTTGAGGCAGGACGCAGTCTGGGGGCAGACGCTGCCCATGCCAGGGCCTGCCCACTCACAATGTTGGCCATCTTGGTGCAGGTCTTGAGGATCTGAATGGCAACGGTGGAGGTGACATTCTCCACGGAGACCCCGTTCACCATGACAATGTGGTCGCCTGTCCTGAGAGAGGAGGGAGGGTCTTACGGAGGAGGCTTTGCAGAGAAGACCGTCGTACCAAGCCCTCCTGGGGAAGGGGTGTCCCTGGCATCTCCAGGTCTACAAGGCCTGCTTCTAATTTATTGTCGTCCCTAGGCTCACAAAGACATTCATCTTTCTGGGCCTCTGTTTTCTCATCTGTAAAATGGGCCAATTGTAGAACATACTATAATCATAGAAATGGGCCGGGCGCGGTGGCTCACGCCTGTAATCCCAGCACTTTGGGAGGCCGAGGCGGGTGGATCACGAGGTCAAGAGATCGAGACCATCCTGGTCAACATGGTGAAACCCCGTCTCTACTAAAAATACAAAAAATTAGCTGGGCATGGTGGCACATGCCTGTAATCCCAGCTACTCAGGAGGCTGAGGCAGGGGAATTGCCTGAACCCAGGAGGCGGAGGCTGCGGTGAGCCGAGATCGCGCCATTGCACTCCAGCCTGGGTAACAAGAGCGAAACTCCGTCTCAAAAAAAAAAAAATAAAATAAAATAAAAATAAAAATTAAAAAATAAAATCATAGAAATGTAGGAAGCTACAGTTTTTTTTTTCTTTTGAAACAGGGTCTTGCTCTGTCACCCAGGCTGGAGTGCAATGGCACGGTCTCAACTCACTGCAACCTCCACCCTCCTGGTTTCAAGTGATCCTCCTGCCTTAGCTTCCCTAATAGCTAGGACTACAGTGCCCTAGTGGGCCCTAACTCTGGGCTGGGCCAAGCCATATCACCTGTCAGCCACTTGGGGCCCAGAACCATTTAATCAACATAATTCCAAGAAGCTTCAAACTTTCAGAGACTCAAGACACTGGGTCTCCTTCCCTCCTGCCAAAAAAAAAAAGGTTTCCAGGACTTTGTGTTCCAAAAAGGCCCTGGGGCCACTATGACCCTAAGATCTTCTGTGGCGGACCAGGAAGTGCCTTAGGGAGGTGAGGGCCAAGTCTCCCATATTGTCCCAGTGCCAGCTCCAAGCCCTGTGTTGACAGAGCTGGAAGGCACCGGTCACTTTCCAGTCCCCTTGATTTGGCTCACGGTGGTTTCTCCTTTCTTTCTTTATTTCCTTCCTTTTTTTTTGAGACAGATTCTCACACTGTCACCCAGGCTGGAGTGCAATGGCGCGATCTCAGCTCGCTGCAACCTCCACCTCCCAGGTTCAAGCAATTCTCCTGCCTCAGCCTCCCGAGTAGCTGGGATTACAGGCGTGCGCCACCACGCCCGGCTAGTTTTTGTAATTTTGGTAGAGACGGGGTTTCTCCGTGTTGGCCAGGCTGGTCTCGAACTCCTGACCTCAGGTGATCCGCCCACCTCGGCCTCCCAAAGTGCTGGGATTACAGGCGTGAGCCACTGCACCTGGCCTGACTTCTCCTCTGAACAGGCCCTCCCCCTGCCGGAACCCGGCTGCTGGATACTCACTGTAGCCTGCCCTCCGCTGGCCCTCCGGGTACCACGTCAGACACAACCACCGACCCACCGGGCCGGTCTCGACCTCCGGAGATGGCAATCCCGAAGCCCCGGCGGGGGTCCTGAGAGAGGGCGAGGGGAAGGAAGAGCTGCTATTTCCCCCAGGATGAGGGGCCCCCTCTGTTGAGCTGGGCCTAAGCCAACATGCCCCCCGGCACCCAGGCAGGGCAGGGCCGCCTCACCTTGGACAGCGTGGCTGTGTGCTGCTCCCAGATGGTCAGCTCCTCCATGTCAGCCACCTGGTCAAGGGGAACAGGGAAGGCGGGCGTGAGGCCACACAGGTCCATCTGAGCACGGCGGGGGCGTCCCCAGTCCCCAGCCCAGGGTGGGGAGTCCGGCTCTGCCAGGCCTGTGGTTGGAGGCTATGGACAGGTTACTACCTCTGTCAGGCCTCAGGATGTTTTGCTTGTTTTTCATTTTGTTTTTTTGAGACGGAGTCTGGCTATGTCTTCCAGGCTGGAGTGCAGTGGCATGATCTCAGCTCACTGCAAAATCCAGGTTCAAGCGATTCTCCAGCCTCAGCCTCCCGAGTAGCTGGGACGACAGGCCCCCACCACCATGCCCGGCTAATTTTTCTATTTTTAGTAGAGACAGGGTTTCGCCTTGTTGGCCAGGCTGGTCTCAAACTCCTGACCTCAAGTCATCTGCCCACCTCGGCCTCTCAAAGCGTTGGGATTAAAGGCATGAGCCACACACCCGGCCCAGACTCAGTTTTTCACCTGCAAAATGGGTCTAAGTCATTAAAACGGGTAATTCTGCTTCCCCCGAGGACATTGGGCGATATCTGGGGACATGCGGGGTTGTCAAGACTTGGGGGTGCTCCTGATTTGGAGGTGGGTGGAGGCCAGGGAGGCTGCTCAGCACCCTGCAGTGCCCAGGATGGCCCCACCCCAGGGGACATCCCGACTGTGGATATCAGCAGTGCCAGGCGGGAGAGACCCTTGTTTAAATGACCTCAACAGTAGCGGGTGCAGACAGGAAGCAAGTTCCTGGTCCCTCTCGCTCTGGAAGGTCTGGCTCCGTTCCCTGGAGAGGATCGAGCCAGGTCTGCCACGTAGAGGAAGCTCACTGTGCTCCCGCCACTGCGGCCTCCTTGCTGTCCCTCCAACACCAACATGCCAGGCACAGTCCTGCCCCAGGGCCTTGGCACCAGCCTCGCCCTCTGCATGCAGTGCCTTCCCCACATGCTTCACCTTCCTTCAAGGACTTAACTCAAATGTCACCTCCTTGATGAAGTCCCCACTGACCATCCGGTTTAGAACTGTAACCCCCTTTGGTTGGGCGCGGTGGCTCACGCCTGTAATCCCAGCACTTTGGGAAGCTGAGGCAGGTGGATCACCTGAGGTCAGGAGTTCGAGACCATCCTGGTCAACATGGTGAAACCCCGTCTCTACTAAAATTACAAAAAATTAGCTGGGCATGGTGGCGCGTGCCTGTCATCCCCAGTTCTCCGGAGGCTGAGGCAGGAGAATTGCCTGAACCCAGGAGGCGGAGGTTGCGGTGAGCCGAGATCGCGCCATTGCACTCCAGCCTGGGTAACAAGAGCGAAACTCTGACTCAAAAAAAAAAAAAAAAAAAAAAGAACTGTAACCCCCTCCTGACCACAGCTGACAACCACCTTATCCCTCTCTCCCTGGTCTATTTTCCTTCATAGAACTGGCAACCGGACTAGGCGCGGTGGCTCACGCCTGTGATCCCAGCACTTTGGGAGGCCGAGGTGGGTGGATCACCTGAGGTCAGGAGTTCGAGACCAGCCTGGTCAACATGGTGAAACCCCATCTCTACTAAAAATACAAAAATTAGCTGGGCATGGTGGCAGGGGCGTGTAATCCCAGCTACTCAGGAGGCTGAGGCAGGAGAATCACTTGAACCCAGGAGGTGGAGTTTGCAGTGAGCCAAGATTGCACCATGGCACTCCAGCGGTGCCCTGTGCCACTGTGCCCAGGCGATTCTGTTATTTCCATGTCCATGGCATACATGAGAACACCAGACTATGCCAGGCTGAGGTACAAGGTCACCTGGCCGCACCTCCACCCTCCCTTCCCTCCTGCCAGCACAGACCAGGCCCTGCTCCCCAGGCAGGGGGCAGGTGGGGGGAGGGGGAGGGGGTTTGTAGAAGTGACTCCTCCCGTCCGGCTGGCTGGCGAGCTGGGTGTGTGACTCCCCAGGCCCGGGCCATGCCCATTGGCTCACTCCAGGCTCTCCAGGAAAGGCAGTGTCCCTGATTCTCCAGGAGTGGGAATGGGGTGGAGGGGAGAGAAACAGCACACGGCAGGCGGTTCCCAGGGAGCCAGGGCAGCGCTCAGGACCCGACTCAAACCCACGTCCGCCCGCCCACCCGTGTGAGCCACGGCGGGGCCTCTCCCGGCCTCAGTCTCCCCATCTGTGAAATGGCCGCTGCCCTGTCTTCCAGGGGTGTTGGTTTGGGAGAAGGGTGTGGATTCAGTGCATGAAAGGCTGAAGAGCTCTTGGGGAGGTGGCGGCCAAATAATGACTTTTTCCTTTGGGTCATTTTTTTTTTCCGAGACAGAGTCTCGTTCTGTCTCCAGGCTGGAGTGCTGTGGCATGATCTTGGCTTACTGCAGCCTCTGTCTCATTGGTTCAAGTGATTCTCCTGCTTCAGCCTCCTGAGTAGCTGGGACTACAGGTGCCCGCCACCACGCCCGGCTAATTTTTTTTGTATTTTAGTAGAGATGGGGTTTTACTATGTTGCCACGATGGTCTCCATCTCCTGACCTCAGGATCCACCCACCTCGGCCTCGAAAAGTGCTGGGATTATAGGCGTGAGACACCGCACCAGGCTTTTTTTTTTTTTTTTTTTTTTTTG